CAACCTTAAATCCAAACGAAGTAATATGAAAAGATGAATTTTATTAAATCTAAAATAGTACCTCTGACATTTACAACCCTTTACTTAAATAGAAAATAAAGCATCCTTCTCATAAGACTAGAATTCCCAAAAGTAGGAAGTATCAAAAAGCTACTTGTTGTGCCATATAAATAAGTGTTGATCAATATTCAACTAGCTGACACATGCCTTAAGCAGACTGCACCCCAAGCCGACCCAGACATACCAAGAAAGGAGTCGTGTCTTCTCGCCAGGCCTTCTCTCCAGGCCGAGACAGGAGTCTCTTCTCGCCTGGTCGACTGGTCCCTTCTCGCTAGACCATGTCATCCATTCTCGCTAGGCAACATCCCTTCTCTCCAGTCCAGGTTAAGAACTTCCAAGGCCGACTAAAAAAGCGGTACTTCTTGCCCTTCTTGCAAGGAGTCATCCCTTCTCGACAGGCAGCCCGAGTCGTCCATTCTCGCTAGGACAAGTCATCCCTTCTCGTCAGGTCGAGTCGAAAGGTGGTCATCTTCGAGCCCGCCGCTAACAGTTAGTCACCATCACATTAAATGCACGGTCAGAAATCATCATTGCTCTAGCCCCAAAAGTCTTTATGACTCATCAGGCTCCTTCAGTACCAAACACCTGGTGTCTCTTTGCACTAACCGCCTGGATGACCCATCTTCGTCAACTATCGACACATGTCAGCTGTCTACCGAGTCAGCTGCCTGTTTGGACTCGGCTCAAGTTACCTATATATCCTTCTGATCCTCTATAAAAGGAATCCATGTAGCTCAAAGTAGCTCTCTGGTCTTTTCACACAACTTTGAAACCTTCTTCATCATTTCATATTTTCCCACTCAAGTTCATATACTAACTTGATTATCGGAAGAACAACTGGAGTACCCAACTTCGACCTCTTACGAGTTCTTCATGTGCAGGGAAGAAGAACAGGCTCCTGAACCAGCCATCTGAAGAAATTTGAGGACTCTAACCCCACATTAATCCTTAACTAAATCCCTTGTTAGATAACTGACATTAACAGTTTAGCGCCCACCGTAGGACTTGTCATCCTTCTTTATACGAGATGTCTGGTTGTGAGCGTCCTGGTTGAACTTTCAACCCACTCTTTAAAGAATCGCGTGCGGGCTATGTTACACAGGCCCAGTTGGAAGAATCCGCGCAAATGATCTCTCAATCTTTCCAACAACAGTTTGCTACATCTACCAATAAACTCAGCCGAATTCCTCCCCAACAACCCTCATCATTATTCATTCCTCCACCTCCGATGGGTAAGCCATTCGTTCTCCTATAGCCTAGACATGTAGCCCAGGCTGGACAGCAAGAAGACTATGCTGAGAACGTCTCTCCCCCACATCACCAGCAAACTCATTTTGCGGACCCTTCTCGCCAGTATCAGCATTACATGGAAGCAAGAATGGAGAGCCCTAGTTTCGGTCATGACATCCAAGAGTATGCTACAGGGGTGGCATCACACGACCCCTGGCTTCCTCGTACCGCTCCAGGCCCCTTGATCAATAATCTTGTGTATGGTTATGATCAGACATTTTAGTCAATCGCTAGGGCCATAGTGGGGAGCACTCCCCTCATCAACATCATTACGAATGCTACTTGTGATAAATTCAAGATGTCTCACGTGGAGAAGTAAAAAGGTGAATGAGTTCTAGCTGAGCATGCTCAGAATTATTATGATATGATGATCATGCTGTAGGCGCCGAAGCCGATTATTTATAGGTGATTCCCTATTACTTTGTCGGGAAACGCCAAGTTATGGTGGAACTCCTTGCCCAAGAAGTTCATTAACAACTTTGAGCATCTTAGCTCGAATTTTGTGCACTACTTCTTGGCCAACATCAAACCGAAACTGTCTCCCCATGTTTTGATACAAATGAGGCAAGAGCCTAGAGAGCGTCTCAGGAATTATTTCAAAATGTTCTATGCCAAAAGACTGGAAGTCGATGACCCTGGCAGCACAGTCGCCATATCCGCTATTGTGGCTGGATTAGATGTTCTATGCCAAAAGACTGGAAGTCGATGACCCTGGCAGCACAGTCGCCATATCCGCTATTGTGGCTGGATTAGAGAGCAAGTAGTTGGCTGATGCACTAGTTAAGAAGTGAGTCACCAGCAATGAACAGCTAATGGCTAAGGCCTATAGGTACATGGACGTGGAAGACACCCGATCCTACAAGTAGGCGGCTAGGACAGCTAAAACAACAGCAGCAATAACATCATCAATGACCGAGTCAATAGTAGGGGCCGACCCCTATTCAAGAGAGGAAGCGGCAAAGGGTCCTTCCAGAACCGACCTCATACTAAACAGAGCCGATAAGAGGGATTGGAGGAAGGAGGTTGCTAAGAAGCTGACCTACCTCAGCTAGAGACCTTGGCATCTTTTCATGTCTAAGCCCAAGACACATTAAACTACCCACGATAATCAAATTAATGGTACTATCTTCAAACAAAATATTTTTTCCTAATGTATGTCCATATGCAGCTTTCATCGATCGATCATCATTGATTCGGCCAGCTTTAACTCGAAAGACCTTGGCACCTACTCAGGGTAAGACCAAGGCGTGCCATCAACAAAAGCCTTTGGTACCCTCTCCGCGTAAAACCAAGGCACACCTCGACTCGGTCAGCTTTAACTCCAAAGACCTTGCTATAATTTTCATGAGTAAAACCATGGCACGTCATCGACCAAAAGACCACCAAGGCATATCGACTCAGCCTACATCAGCTAAAAGATCTTGGCATCTTCCTAAGCCCAAGGCACATACCCTAAAACCTTGGACTCATCGTGAATAAACCCAAGGCACGAGGTCGAGTAGCACTACTCCCCACACACGGAGCCGAATCATCTCGACCCAAAGGACTGATTAGTACTCAAAAGTATGTGGTTCAAATTAATAAAAATAAAAATATTTCTATCTAAAATTTTCTACAATGTAGTAAGTACTGAACAAGCAAACGCCTAGACCTTGGCGCCTTCATAAGCCCCAGGCACGCATCATAATTTTTTGGTGTCATCATGAGTAAACACAAGGCACGAGGTCAATGCATCCCCAATACAAAGGATCAAAGTTCAATTTCACTCAGACTCGGCCAGCCGAGTCCGAGGGAAATGGGCCAGTGTTGCGTTATAGAAATAAGTGGTGATCAATATTCAACTGACTGAGATATGTCTCAAGCAGATTGCACCCCAAGCCGACCCAGACAAGCCAAGAAAGGAGTCGTTCCTTCTCGCCAAGCCAAGACAAGAGTCCCTTCTTGCCTGGCCGACTCATCCCTTCTTACCAGGCTGAGTCACCCCTTCCCGCTAGGCAGCACCCCTTCTCTCTAATCCGTGTCAAGAAATTTCGAGACCGGCTAAAAAGAAGGTACTTCTCGCCCTTTTCGCAAGGAGTCATCCCTTCTCGATAGGAAGCCTGGGTCGTCCCTACTCGCCAGGCCGAGTTGTCCCTTCTCGCTAGGCCGAGTCGAAAAACAGTCATCCTCGAGCCCCCTACCAATAGCCAATCACAATCACATTAAATGCACGGTAAAAAATTATCATTGCTCTAGATCAAAAACTCTTTATGACTCATTAGGCTCCGTCAACAACAAGCAGCCGTTGTCGCTTTGCACTAACCGTCTGGATGACCCATCTTCACCAGCTGTCAACACACGTCAGCTATTTACCGAGTTAGCTACCTACCTGTACTCAACTCAAGTTACATAGTGCCCTTCTAATTCTCTATAAAAGGAAGTCATGTAGCTTAGGATAGCTCTCTAGTCTTTTCACACAACTTTGAAACCTTCTTCATCATCTCACAATTTTCTATTTAAGTTCATATATTGACTTGATCGTCGGAGGAACAATCAGAGAACCTAACTCCGGCCTCTTATGAGTTCTTCGTGTGCAAGGAAGAACAGCAGTCTCCTAGACTAGCCATCTGAAGAAGTTTGAGGACTCCAAGCCCACATTATTCCTTAACTAAACCTCCTGTTAAATAACTGACATCAACACTACTCCTAGTACAAGTGGTAGAATCAAACAATTATTTCGCTTCGGAAAACCCTGCATATTCTAAGCACTCTTCACCCAATCGAATATCATGTGATCAACTTGGAAGCATCTTTCAAGCTTATTCTCGGAAGAAGGTGGATCGAACAAACAAAGCATATATCATTGCGCCTTTGATCGATGAACTAGGATCAAAAGGGTCCTAAAGTACGCAAATAATGAAGGGGCTCTCCACTGATAGACAAAGTATCCTAAAAAGACTCATTATGAATGAGGAAAGTGATCGGTCAAATAATATAAACAGATACATGTCCTATTACTAAAAATAGCAAAAAAGTAACTCTAAGTTCGACATCTCCCTATCCAAGGGAATATCATGATTCAAACAACTATAAACCGAAATATCGGTGAGTTAGATTGGTTCTATCTCAAAATAATATGGGATTTCAACATACTGATTGGTAAATACGACCAGTTCTTCCTAGGCAAGTTAATACCTCTTTATAATCTCTCTTTTAGGCTTCTGGCGGCCCAAATCAGAGAATTCATCTACAAAGCATTCTCATTTGTAGTAATATGGTTAATTAATCGAAAGTAACTAAAGCATACACATAGATAAAGATAAGGAAGCAGACAATATTATCTAAGAAATTTAATTCTATTAAGAATTTATTAGCAACATTTAGATTAAGTTTAAAAATTGTATGATTTGCTCATGACTTTTACCCGTGTGTGTGTATATATATATATATAAATTGGCAGCTTATTTAGAAAAATGAACTACCAAGAGAAAGAGGAGATGAGATCCGCACATTTTAATATGACAAGTAGGGTGAAAACTATCATGTGGTTATCTCTTGATAGTTTATTTAATAAATATATATACACACACGCTGGGTCTAATTATTTTTAACATACAATTCAATTTCTTATTTCTTATGGTTGTCAAAAAAAATTCTCGTTCCTCATGTAGATGATGTACGAAAAAATGAAAGAAAAGGTTGAGGATGTGATGGAGAAGGGTTATGTTTGTGGTGGCCATTTAGATATCAATGCTGAAGAGTATGACGTTTTGAAGAAATGGAAGAGCTACACTCATCGCGATCACCCTGCAGTGGTCCAGGTAAAATATAACAAAACTCCCCCTAACTTTGGAGATTACCAAATAACATTCTATAACTTTCAAAATATCCATTAATCCTCCTTAAGCATAGGGATCATCGGAAAACTACCCCTTCAAATTTAAGGATTTGTTAGAAAACCCCTTCAATTTTGAGATTTTATTAGAACCCCCGCCCCCCTAAAAGTATCGTCATTGGGGAGTTTTTTTGATAAAATCTCAAATTTAAAGGGAATTTTCTGATAACCCCAAAACATAAGTGGGTTTACTAATATTTTCAAAGAGGGTTATCAGATAATCATCCAAACTTAGGGGTTTTTCTAATATCTAGCCAATTTTGATATGTTAGCATGTTCTTTCAAATTTTCTCAAAATTTTTTGATAAAATCAACTAATGAACTGATATAACACGCTTTGATGCAAGGATTTTGTTGTTAAATTTTGTATGTATGAAGACTTGTTTAGTACCTCATCGGATAGAATAGCACAACATATTCTATTTACATTGTACGAGGAGAGTGTAAACATCGAGAGAAAACTTGCAACATCAAGAATGATGATGAATATTTCAATGTGGGTTTGGTCGAATAATCAGAGTGGAGGTTGAGGCGAGATCACATTGGGTTTTTTTCCCTTCAAAGAGATCTAAAATCTAGGAGGATCTCGTGCAAAATGAGTTTTCGGAAGAGGGGGAGGGAGTCAGCAGTTGTTTTCGGAAGACTTGGTGGGGTCGCCGAAGATGAGGCGGTCTTTGAAGGAGGCGGCGGGGGATTGGGCGGAGGAGGGGAAGGAGGAGATGAGGACGGAGACCTCATTGTGTTCGGGGAGAGGGCGGAGAGGGGAGGAAGGGGAAGGGAAGAAAATCAGCAGAGAAAAGAAATGGGGAAAGTGCTTCACGCCGCTCCTCAGAAGAAAGAGAAGACAAAATGGTGAATGTCAGAGAGAGAGGGAGAGAGAACGTGGGTTTTTATTAATTGTTCATCAAAGCTTTTTGAAGGAGATGTGGGTTTTGGTTCTGAAACGTGAGGAGTTTGGACGGTTGCCGTGAATTAACTCAACAATGGACGGTCGTGGAGAATTGAGGGGAAAATACGTGGAAAATTAAAAAATTTACTGTTCATTTTAGCTTTTGTGTTGTTCTCCTTTTAGTAATAAAGAAGTAGATATATAGACTACCATATCAATGATGAAAGATATCATCTTCTCTCAATTTGCTTTGCATTTATCGTGGTATCTGAGCCATCCAATCAACCCCTCCTCAAATTTCAACCCTACAAACCCAAACCCTCATATGCGGGCCCTACACCTGATTCACACAGCAAAACTTGTGATCATGAATCTCACAATCACGAGATTCCTGTGATCACGAATCTGCCGCCACCCTAGCCCAAAACCCTAGTAAAAAAACCCTAGCTAACAGCCCGCTGCCACCTGCCCTTGACTGCACTCTACTCGACCAGTCGCCCTCGCCAACACTCGCCCATGCCCGCACCAGCCTACCACTCACCTACAATTGAGCCCCCACCTTGCTCGACCACACTTGACCACGACCCGCATACATCCTCGCCAGATCCAGCACTCCACCATGACACTTGAGCTCGCTCAACTCCATTCAACTACAACCCCCACCAGCCGCTCAACCAGAAGCCCTCACCATCACCTGAAGTTAGAGCCCACACCTTGATCATCCCTGCTCGACCATAATCTGCACACCATCGAACCCGCACTACCACCACCTGCTAGATCTACTCTCCACTCGATCGCTGCCCAAACCAGACTTTGCACTATTGACCAACAGTGTCACCCTCGTTGACCCCTTCGTCCCATGGCTATCCACAGTAGATGACCTACACCGTCACTCGACCGTTGCTCGAGCTAGAACCTACATCGTCAATAGCACTCGACCATCTCTCGACTAGCGCCGCCTTCATCAAACCCTGTGCCTCAATGGTTGCTTACTGTCAAAGTCCAACGAGTATAGCACTCACACCGACTCAGGTATCACTGATCCCTTTGACCAATCACACTTTATCTCATAAACATGATAACATAGAAAATGCACTTTCACTAATAATTCATCGACATCAAACTCGATGGTACTTCTAAATCCCCAGCTTGCCTGTCTACTATAAGAGATCCTACCAAGGATATCACTGCTCTCTCCTCGTACGAGTCCCGCCTAACGACTTGCACCCTTGCGGAGGACCGTGCTATCTAGACAATTGTCCCATCCATCTCCCCATCCATCTGACTTCAACTTATCCGGTACAACTCTACCATATCCCTCTAGGACTACCTTCGAATGATGCCCAGGAGTATCAACTATACAACAAGATCTCTACAGTTACACAAGGTGACTGGTTGACACGTGAGTTCTACACCCACATGTTCGATCTGTGAGAATAACTCATAGCCCTCGATACNCAATGGCTAGGATTCAGTCAAACAGTCAACAAACACATGCATTAATTACCTTATTAAACACATGCATTAATTACATCAATGCAGTGAATCCAGATTCACTGTAGTGAATCTGGATTCACTGTAGTGAATCTGGATTCACTGTAGTGATTCGAGATACGTTGAGGTAGTGAATCTGGATTCACTGTGTTGAGGTAATTAATGA